GTTGACTGGGTGAAGAGTGACTGACAATCGAAAGGCAAATCTTCCACCTTGGCCTGCAACTCCTTCAGGACAGCGGCCTGGTGTAGCCAAGACACCCGACGCATGACTATGGCTGAAGCTGTGGATCTAGCGGCTGCATCAGCCGTGTCGAGAGCGATCTGCAATGCTACTCGGGCAACTTAATAGCCCTCTTGTATCACCGCCTTGAGAATCTGACGTTTGGAATCCGGCAAGTGTTCAAATAGAGGGACTAGTTTCGAATAGTTGTCAAAATCGTGATTTGCTAGTTGTGCCACAAAGTTACACATCATCAGAGCAAAAGTGGCGGAAGAATATATTTTCCTGCCCAAGATATCCAGGCGTTTAGCCTCCTTGTCGTTTGAGGAATTTTTGGTCTGAGACGTTATTACTCTCTGTTGTGCAGTGTCCAAAACAAGGGAGTTAGGCTGAGGATGTGTAAACAGAAACTCTATACCCCTCTGGCTTATGAAGTATTTCTTGACCGACGTCTTATTAGTTGGTAGTGACGTGGCCAGAGTCTGTCAGATGTCGTCGGCAACCTCTAGGATAGCGTCATCAAAGGGAAAGGCGAGCTGCAACTTTTGGGAAGGTTGTAAATTCTTTAGCAGCCAATGCTATTTCTGCTGCACATCCGTGGTCTGGATGTCCTGGGATTGAGCAACCCTTTTGAAGAGTTCCTGGAATTGCTTGTGGTCCTCCGTAGGAGAAAAGTCATCCGGCAAGGAAGAGAAACGCTTCCGGCAAGGAAGAGAAAGGGAATCAGGGTTCTGCTGCCCCTGACGAGGAATGTGGTCCTGCTTATCTTCCTGATACCTTGAATCCACATCTCCAGCTGAGGATGGTGGGGCAATATAAGGCGTAGACTCGTCAGGACCGTGTGGAGACTCAGGCCAAGAAGATTGTGGTGACCGTGACCACGAATACCTTCTGCGGTGAGATGAATAAGAAGAGCACTCGTGATAACATCGGTCATACAGCTGGCTGTGGCAAGGAGAACAGCTGTGTCTTCTCGACGTGTCATATCGACTAGAACATGCTGTAAGTCTTGGAGACCTTGGCGAGAAGGATCTCCTGGAGTAGCGAGAAGGAGACCACGAGCAGTGGTCCCAATAGTATTGATGTGGTGGTGAGCGATGAGGTGACATATAGTAGTGTTCTCTGGGGGGCCGTGTAATGGTCAACATGATGACGGCTTCCAGAATGGGACAAGGCAGGTGAATCAGGTCCAGGCGAGAAGGTCACATGGTCCGGTGTCAATGATGATGTCCAGACCCATGCAGATTTGTGCTGTGCTTTGGTTGGCACTGAGGAGTTGAAGGAAGGCTGAGGAGCCGCTTGTGGCAGAACAGCAGGCAGCAAAGGAGCTTCTGTAACTTGATTATTGGCAGAATGCAGGCTCGGTGCCGCTGGATCAGCCGGGGATGACGTCAAAGCTGAGGGCTGGACCGGCAGAGTCTCCTGTTGCGGTGCTGAATCCGGTGCCGATGTCTCTGGTACCGGGGAGCATGGAACAGCACTCAGGGAAGGCGCTGCGGGTGCCGGCACAGCTAATCTCAGCCGCGCATGTGCAGGAACTCTCGGTGCCAGGGCTTCCATGGCCGGCTTCGCAATGGCCGTTGAAGCCATTGCCGGCACCTACTCCGCTCGCAAACCCTTTGTGGGTGCTGGAGCGGAGTCCTTGTGGTGGGCTACAGTTGGGGCCGAGGAGCTATGGCCCTTGCCCGACTTGTCACAGTATAATTACATCACTCGGTGGTTTGATAAATCACCATACAGTATAACTACATCACTCAGTGGTTTGATAAATCCTCACCTCTAAACAACGTAGTTATACTAACCTAACACTTAGCACAAACAGCACTATGTTGACAAGAGGGCTTCTCCCATTGACACAGTTACTGCCTTTTATGGAGGTGGGTTAACTTCACCAAGAGGGGCACAGCAGCATTTTCACAGTAGCAGAATTCTAAAGAGCAGATGTGCTCCTAGTCTCAGCATAAAGCCCAGTCCTGAGAAATGGTGAAAACCTGTAGCTCTAAAAACAATAAAAAATGCTAAAAGGATCTAACTGCACTTTTGCAAGGTCAACAATCCCAAGTCTCCTGTGCTGTAATATTTTCTAAAAATAAATCAAAACAAGATAAAGATTAAGATAGGTTCATTGATAACTAAAAGAAATCACATGATTTTATTTGCTGTAGCCCTTCTTATCCAAACCTTTCTCCCAACAGCTGTCATTTTCCCTTAGTATGTCTTAATCTATGAGCAGATCAGAACAAAAGCTATGGTTTTTGCATGTGTATTTTTATTAATAGTCATGGTCAGGATGTGAGCAATAAACATTCACAGATTTGAGAAGCTGGATGGAGCCCTGCCACCCTGGGCTGGAATACTGGAATTAAAAAAAAAATCATGGTGCTCTTGCAAAATCATGATATCCATGACGCCCATGGCAGATTCATACCAAGATTGTTCTGGGATGGATAATATCATGCTTATTTTACAAATAGGTAAACTGAAGAATGGAAAATTTTAAGTCACTTGTCTAGAATCATAAGCTGAGTTATTTGGAGAACCAGAAAGGAAACCCAGGAGTCCTGATTCTCTGCTCTGACTACTAAACAACACTATGCCTCGAGAAACAATTGGAAAAGGGACTCCAAAGTAATAAACTCTGCCCAGTCAATCTTCTACACAGCAGAAGAAATGAGTTTGAGTACTGCACTAGAGAAACTTACAGACGTGGTCTATGAGGTAATATATATTTATTTAATTTATTGAGATAAGTGTTGGAGCTTACCCAAAGCTTTCTCAGGTCTGTGAAGCTCAAAAGCTTTTCTCTTCTTCCAACAGAAGTTGGTTGATATTACTACACCCACCTTACCTCTTTAATAATCTGGGACCAACATAACTACCAAAATCCTGCAAATTAGAGAAGCTTGTTAGCAATCCTAATTCATATAAAACAAAATATAATTTACACTGTCATCTATATAATAAGATTCCAGGATGGTTCCTCTCTGTGTCACTCTTAAGCCTAGAATATATGTAGCCAGACTGAAGCAATGGAAACAGCTATAAGCATAACTGATTTCTCTTCTTATTGCAAACATCCATCAGGTTCAAACATCACTAGATGTCCAGACTAAGGCCATTGAATACAGGCAGTCCCCGGGTTACGTACAAGATAGGGACTGTAGGTTTGTTCTTAAGTTGAATTTGTATGTGTCGGAACTGGTACATATTGTAAGGGAAACTCTAGCCAAACATTTCTCCAGAGCTCAGTTTTATTCTCCCACACCTCACTTCTTTCAGTCCTTTATTCTCAAGCTGAGGTGTCTGCTGAGAAAAGCCGCTCCGCGTCTCCCTGGTCTGCTGGGGGGAAGCAGCTAGTGTGGGGTTGCCTCACCCCGTTTGTAAGTAGGGATCCGATGCAAGTCGGATCCATGTAACCCGGGGACTGCCTGTATTTAAACCCTGTGCTATATTTACTTCACAGATTACACCCATTCAATAGCACAGGTTTTTAACTGATAGTGTTTTTAATTTATATCCGTGCTTCTAGCTTTCTGCTGACAGTCAAGATTTGTCATCCAGGGACTACACAAAAGTACTTTGGACTACCAGGGAAGTTGACTTTTGAATTTTTGGATTAAACTGAGCCCAAGCGCAGTAGTGACAGTCATCTATGGATTTCAGAAAGGGGAGCTTTAGTCAATGCTACTCATAACTCTCATATGCTCTTCATTTGAAGGAAGGTTATTCATAGTAGTCCCAAAATTACCACAAATTTGATGTTCACTCCCTTTAATTGCTGAAAATAATTAACAAAGAATTATGAAACTCAAGTTATAGAAGAGGTTCTCTTCTTAAATAAAGGAATCCCACAGCATTTTAAGTTCTCTGAACAAATAAGTTTTGTTTCCCTCTGAGTCTGTCATATAGTGCAGTGTTTTTCCACCTTTGTTTAATAAAGCACCCTTTTTTTAAAAAAAATTATAAGTACCCCCAGTACCTACAGTTTTCAGACACAGATTTTTGTTCTACCATTGCAACACATTTGTTTACACAACTTAATTGAAGCCAGGTGGGTGATGAAATATTTGGCTGTAAAAAGTACAAAAGTGATAAAGCGCTGTAAAACTTAAAACAAAAAATCAGTTTTATCCAAATTTCAATTGTGTTGATGTACCCCCAGACTTCTCTCAACTCGTACAAATGGTTGAAAAACAGTTATAGTGCTTTGGGGTCTGGATGGGCTGAAAAGCAGTGTATTGACAAGTCACCCTCAAGCAGATCCTAAAGGGACACTTTTGGGCACCGTTAGTCACTGGAAAAGGCCAGGCAGTTTGCACCAGTGGTGTTCCTTTTCCTCTGTGAAGTGTGCAGGTGGAGGGGCCATGCTGCCAGGGGATCCTAGCAGCTGGACAGTATGGTTATGCATTGGAGCACCAGTGCCCTTGTGTGGGGTATGCAAAAGGGTGCCAGGCAGTGTTCCCTGTTAGCTGTGTGATTGTGTGACAAAAGCCCCCAGCTGAGCAGCAGAACCCACACAGGTGTGTGTGTGAGGGGGGAAGGGGGGGTTCTTTCTATTTGTGGTGCACATTGGCACACGCCTCAGTGTGCACAGAAAGCACCAGGATGGAAAAGATCCCCACAGGGATGGAAAAGCTCAGAGGGAACACTCGTGCCGGGTGCTGTCCCCCAGCGCCGTGCCAGCCCATTCCACACGGGCACCTAACGGCAGCGGTCACCAGCGCGCG